TTGTGGGTTCGAATCCCGGTTCGCCCCAATTATGTTTCTAGGTTTGTCAGCACCATACCCTTGCTCGTGGGTTTCACCGAAGTGGTAAACGTCTGAGACCTGCATCACTTCGGGCTTTCCTCCCACATTAAGCTGACACGCCGCTGGATATAACTGGAATACTGTTAAAAGCGGCGTTAAACCAAACTCACTCACTCACTCACTCATTTAAAGTTAACTGAATAATCAGTAGAACTACTAGTGTACAAATATGTTAGCAGTGACACTAGCCTGAAGCAGTATGCACAGTACCAGTCTTCCTGGCAAATGTGAGTGAGTGAGTGAGTTACTGTGGTTTTACGCCGCTTTTAGCAATATTCCAGCAATATCACGGCGGGGGACACCAGAAATGGGCTTCACACATAGTACCATGTCGGGAATTGAACCCGGGTCATCGGCGTGACGAGCGAACGCTTTAACCACCAGGCTACCCGACGGCCCCTCCTGTCAAATGTATCGTGTGTATGTGTGTGCTTGTTTGTTGTTAAGCGCAGCCATGTTATACGATGGCAACCTGTAAATAATCGAGATTTGACCAGGAGCCAACCCAGTCATATAAAATGTGAGCAACTATCCACGCCGTCGGGGTATGTACGATGTCACCGTCCTCTAGGTCCATTAAGTGTATTCGTGATACCGATATAGGTTGCTGGGGTCAAAACCCGAACCCCCCGAGTGACATATATATTGTGACTCGCCTCCACACATCTCTAACACAATATTTCTATCAGTTGGTGCCCCGCGTGAACCGAAGCGGTGAAATCTATGAAAACAGACAAATACAGTGCTGCTCACTGAAAAAAATTGATCCGATCCTAAAATTAGTAACAGTTAATTGAAGAACATTATCATGAAGTGTTAAATTTTCTGTTACGTGCGTGGTTGTTTCTCAGTGTCTTCCGGGGCAAGGACATCCCAATAGTCCCAGAAAAAAAAAATATCTGTATCTGGATGTGTCATCCCAATGGTCAAATCTACGACAAAAACAATGCGAAGATCTGGAGTTTCTCCCACAAAATCGTGAGACGCTCTGTAACATTAACTTCAACTCACAACATGATGCCATCAGGATTTCTGTCAATATTCTTTAGCCATCACCAAAGGTTCTTAGCTAATTCTACATGTTATGAAGGTAATAAAAATGGTCTTCCAGTTGTTGTTTTTGAGAAAATAATCATGTCGATCAAATCGCCGTCTAAAAAGAACTTTTAATATGTGTAGACTATAATTAAAAACTGCAGCACTGGTGACTTTTCTCCTTCATTAAACGCGATATCACGACGTGCTATACCAGCGGAATAAAATCATGCACCATAAAGAAAACCAAGGGCACATGTACAAACACGTTGCTTTGATTATCAAGGAGGAACAGTACACGTGGTACCGATTCAATTCAAACAAACAGCAACCGCAATTGCACAAAACAATTTTTGGTGTTCATCGTACGAAAACACGGTGACTGTGGGCTTGATACCAACAGACCGGCAACACCACACACCGACCACGTTCTTTAAGTCCACGGGGGGCACGGGTGGCCCAGTCGTCTAAGGCGCCGCGATTCGCTGTGCAGAGTTGCGTCCCTTGGGCACGCCAGAAACCTATGATTGTGGGTTCGAATCCCGGTTCGCCCCGATTATGTTTCTAGGTTTGTCAGCACCATACCCGTGCTCGTGGGTTTCACCGAAGTGGTTAACGTCTGAGACCTGCATCACTTCGGGCTTTCCTCCCACATTAAGCTGACACGCCGTGATATATAACTGTAATACTGTTAATAGCGGCGTTAAACCCAACTCACTCACTCACTTTACGTCCACGATTTACGTCAGGTCGGCAGGATAATCATACCCTGCCTGGTTCACCGGCGAAGTCGGTTTCAGACTGCAACTTTGACAGCCTGCAGCATCTCTGGCTTACGTCCGATTAGTGCCAGGTATGTGAGGAATCGATCACGAGAACATAGCATCCGACCACAACGTCCACCCGTACGTCCTATTGTGCTGCCACGTCACCCAACTGCACATCTGACATGGTTCATCTGTGTTTTGGACAGCAGAACAACCTCTACTCCCTTGGCGTGCTGTTTGTTCAGATCTGTCGCCCACCGAACACGGGTGGGATGAAATGAAACGTTTACGGCGACTTTCAAACCAACCAATGACGTTGGTCCAGCTGCCACAGGCCTTGGTCCAGATCTGGAATAACAACCCTCAAGCCTTCGTGAACAATCGTGTGTCGTCAATGTGGCTCTGTTGTCAAGCATGTGTCTCTGCTAATGGTGATCGTGTCCGACAATAACCTGTGAACTGACAGCTGACCCCACGCCACTTTTAGCCTGAGATGACGACAAGGTGTTGACACTGGCATGATGAGTTAATGTTGACATCACTGCATTGTTCTGTTGCAAGATCTTTTTTGTTTGGGTTTATTGTTATTTCCCATTATAGTCCGTGAAGCACAGGAATTTTTTCCCGCTTGTATAAACAGAAATACTATTCAAAATGGAGTGAGTGAGCGAGTGAGCGAGTGAGTGAGTGAGTGAGTGGGTGGGTGGGTGGGTGGGTGGGTGGGTAGTATATATATACTAGCCACATAAAGAAACTGTGCACGGAGAAAACATATTCTGGATTGAAATACAACACAGCAAGAACAAAATGATGCAGACGCTGTAGCAGCTGAATGATCGGACCATAAGAAAAAGTCAACGGGACCTGAACAACATCTGTTACGATGACGTCAGTAGATCAAAATGGAGTAGGGGGTCAAACGACAAAGTCACAAAGTCAATAACGGGTATGACCACCCTGTGCGTGAATCACAGCAGTGCATCGGCGACACATGGAGTCCACCAAATGGGCATGGAAGGCCTGGGGAATGGCCTGCCATATCCTCCTCAAATCCTGTGCCAAGTCACGGACGTTATCTGGAGGATGTGGAAGACGACGCAGACAGCGCTCCATTCCATCCCACACATGCTCTATTGGGGAGAGATCTGGAGAAATTGCAGGCCATGGCAGTAACATGACATTGTTATGGTGAAGGAAATCCATTGCGACCCTAGCCGTGTGAGGACGAGCGTTGTCCTGTTGAAATGTCAATCCCGGGCCATGACGTTGCAGTAAAGGAATGACCACAGGCCTCAGAATCTGATCTCTGTAGCCAACACCGGTGAGATTGCCCTGAACAGCCACCAAAGGGGTTCGGTGCCGTGCTGTTATCCCACCCCAAATCATCACAGAGCCACCTCCAAAACGATTCCTCACCACAATACAGTTGTGTGCATAACGTTCTCCCAAACGCCGGTAGACACGTTGGCGCCCGTCACTGTGGGAAATGTTGAACCTCGATTCATCTGTAAAGACAACATTTCTCCACCATATTCGAGGTTGGCGAACATGATTTCGACACCATCTTAGACGGTTGACTCGATGACGGTGTGTCAGGATGGGACGTATGGCAGGGCGTCATGGTCGAATCCCGTACTGACGTAAACGATTCCTGACAGTGTTGGGATGGATACACTCCAGGAATTGTCTGGGACGTCGTTACTGCCGTTTGGAACCTGTGTCGGAGATGTGTAACTCGAATCCATCTGTCCTGTCTTGGCGTCGTTACTCGGGGACGTCCTGAACGTGGGTGGTCGGCAACGTCATTTGTGTTCTGATAACGCCTCACCAATGCCGATATCGTGTTACGATGGCATTGGAAATGCGTTGCCACCTGTTGTTGCCTCATTCCCGCTCGGATCATTCCAATGGCTTCATGACGCTGTGCAGCTGTCAATCTTGGCATGATTTGCTTGTGATATGCTTGTGTCTACGCCTGAGAGGTTTTGAATTTTTGAATGATCACAGATCATGCTTTCCAAAGTGACAGCAAATTTTGAGTTGCACATGCTGTGTACAGCTGCACAGGATGCACGTGCAGTAACACATTGCACGTCCATAGGCCCCCAATCAATGACGTCATATCGCATGGCACGGGCATGAGCGTTTGAATGTCTCCAATAATCTCCAATAAATCTCTCTTGCAGCGTATGTGATGTTCTAAATATATATATATATATATATATATATATATATATATATATATATATATATATATATTTAGAACATCATAACGCTGCAAGAGAGATTTTTTTCAGTTTTGATACTACCCGAGGGTACTGTACCCCTGAACCCGAGGTACTGTACCCCTGAACCCGAGGTACTGTAGCCCTGAAATGCCTCTCCTGTTCTATCAGACATACACTACGGCTAAAAGCTATTCGTGTGTACGGACCTGACTTGCTTATCTTATATATATATATATATATATATATATATATATATATATATATATATATATTCTGGACTTGCAGTAGTGTGTTTGTATCGTCATGCCTTTCAGTAAAGTATACGTCCACTGAACTGATTCATAGATTGAAATATATCCACATGGACAACATGAACGGGAAAAGAAATGTTTTCATATTTTCCTTAAAAGGATTTCCTGTTCCAAGGGCATATTTCAGCAAGCCCGAGTTTAAAAAATATTTCAATAATCCTTTTGGAGGTACTCACTGGGTTTGGGAGATCGTTCACATGATCGTGGCGGGTAAACCAACGTTCGCAGTGATGCAGGTATCAGACGTTTACCACTTCGGTGAAACCCACGAGCATGGGAATGGTGCTGACAAACCTTGAAACATAATCGGAGCGAACCGGGATTCGAACCCACAATCCTAAGTTTCTGGCATGCACAAGGGATGCAACTCTGCACAGCGAATCGCGGCGCCTTCGAGGTTTGGGCTCCCCCCCATGCCCCTTTAACTGTACTATAAGGGACTATAAGTTCTCATCGACGGGCGATTATCAGCGCCGCATAGGGAAAGCAGTATGTTAAATATCCAACCTACATTGTACACAATGTTACGTGTCGATTCCCAAATTTAAACAATATGTTAACCCACAAATCTGTATGTAAAAGAACTTAGTGTTAAACCAACAAACAACCAGCAAGTGACATACAATCAATGAATGTATTACACAATTCACTAATTAAGTTTGCAAATCATACAAATTACTGCACAGCAATAACAATGGCAGTACACAAAGAGTGGTAGTACAATATTATAGGATGGCAGTGGACAGTATCAAATCGGAAAATACAGTGGTGAAAGGAAAAATCAGTGATAATTGTATATTCACCCAGTGGTGACGTTTATCAAGCTTCCGAGATGGGCGTCGACAGGGATTCTTCAAACAAAAGCTGGTCTTGGTGTATTCTCAGATGAAAATGTGTGAGACACGTAAACACGCTGTTGTCCAACTGTATACAGCCTCAATAGCTACTGGAAATTTCTACACAGTGCCCTCACCAGTCTAAGCGGCACTGGAACATTCCGGGTGTTTCTGTTACATACTATCACCCTCCGCAGTATACCGGACCGGAAGTTAACACACCACACTGGCTGCTAAATATAAAAACTTCCTGACTACTGCTAACATTGCATTAGTACTACATTCCTGACGACTAATCATTGTCCAAATACAATGCAATGAGCGTCTACCGAATCTCAACAGAAACAATGCAACACAGCCACGGTTATTGTTCAACAATAAAATACACTACAATATAACAAAAAGTAAAAGCAAAAAACCCTTTCTATTTTCATAAGAAACCTATGCTGAAAGAAGAGTCGATTGTACGATTCCGACTATATATGAGCATGTGTTTATGAATCACTATGAAATAGCTATGATGACAGGTGTTCGCGAAAGGTTGAGTCACAAACACATGCAAACCCAAGTCAATTCTTCACCTAAAAATACATGGGAACAAATGGTACAAGTCAAATAGGGAATTGCATCATGATCAGACGCCATTTTTTTCACGGATGAGTCAAAATTTGGAAATGTCCTCCACATGATTACCATAAAACTTTGTTACAGCTTTACTGAGCCCGTAAGTGTTGTGGCCTTGATTATACAACTTTTGATTAATAGTTGTAAGAGGCTCTTTGAAATATTCGTCGAAAGAGCAATCTAGACACCAGAGGCTTGATTTTGCTGGAATATGATGCCGTGAAACAGCTAGAATATTGCTCACTGTGGTCATAAACAAAAAGCAAATACGTGATAGTTTTCTCAATTCACAATTGCTAACGCTGATAATTTTCTGTTCCTGTTTCTCCGTTGATCATTGTGTATCACTGTTGATCAACTTGCCATCCCAGTTTTAGTCTGAATGGGTCCTTGCATTACCTTTCTTCCTACAACGCTTACCAACGCTGCAGATATCGAACTGAATATCAAACACGTCCCTGAAAATAGAGTAATTGCGTCGATATTAACTAAGCAATCTCTTAGATAAGACAGTTGACTCTTAGATAAGACAGTTGAAGTCTTAAAATCACGAGGACTGAACCACAAGTGAGTGGCTGGTAGTGTGAACAACAATAAACACTGTACATGTACATGTATATGTATGATACAAAACGCCAGAGACTGACGTAGCTACCAGTTATACGAGCCAGTTATTGTAACCGACTGCCTTTTATGTGAAGGGGATAAAAGTTAACAACTGAAAATTAATATCAAGGCTATTGGCGATGCCTCTGTTTTAGAGAAAGACTATTTTGTTAATCATAAATAAACATTCCAGGTAAAATGGTGCATCAAGGATTTGATATATTTCCAAGAATATAAATATTGTATAGAACATTCCCTTCTTAAAATATGAAAACTTATATCTTTTTAATTGGATCAAATAATTTAAGAACATTTCACTAGGTGACGCTATCTTACCTGCAAATACATAGGTAAAATCATATACCATGCTCAACCTGAAAATCCAACCTGAAATTTAAAACAGATCATTAGAAAAATTATTTTCACATCGCCCAACAGAATGTACTCAAAAGGCAAAAAGGGTGCCTTAATTGACACAGCCCCAGGGGTTAGTTATGTAAGCTACAGGAAGTGGATTCATTTGAGTATATATCAGGTTTGTTAGGGTTATTAATGTATTGAAGATGACGCGACGTAATTCAAAGTAATGCACGTCAAATAGAGAAAAAAACACATATAAAATGGTGCCTGAATGAGCCACCAATATTGGAATTGGATTGTTTTGAATCACAATGCTACTTACTTGCTACAGGAGGTCCTAGAATGTACCCAACTCCCATGGAGTAATACACAAACCCATATGCCACTGGAACATCCTTCAATGTAACCAAGTCAAGGACAATAGGGCCAATCAGAGTATTCATACCTTGGCTGTATGTCCCATATAAAATCCCAAACACCATCTGAGTGTTGTATGTGTGAGAATAAAGAGGGAATAACATCAATAGCACCCCAGATATGCCAGTGAATCCTACTTGGAGAACCATGTATGGAATTTTCGAATCTGAGGCCATCATTCCCGCAACTACTCTTGAGAAGACACTTCCGACTCCCATTGCAGTGAAAAGAGTTGCAGCCTGATCCGGCGAGCTTCCTTTTTGTTGAGCATAGTATGGAAGATGGAACACAGCGGCTGATTCACCAAGTGTCCACAGCATGATGCTTAGGTTATATATAAGAAATCGAATTTCCTTAAGGACTCGAAAAGCACTGAAAACGTGGCATATATTTGATTTTATTCTTGATTTCTTCGTATCTTCTTGTGGTGAAGAAATAAACGCATGGTAAGATAGAGGATCATCTGCAGAAGTAGAAATTTCCAATGTTTGGTCATTATGAGTATTTTCTTCAGATGGTTGTGGCTGAATGCTAGCAAATTTTTTTTCTGTAGACTTAGAATGTAACAAATGTGAAGCTTTCCTGCTTATGTGTGGAGCACACTCTTGATCTTTATCTGTGCTGTCATCCACTGATTGATCAATGTTTACTACAGTTGAACTCTGTGACTGTTTGAGTGGCCTTAAGACAACACCAGCAACACACATATGAAATTCTATTGCACCAAGAATAAGAAGGGCGCCACTTAGATTGTACTGACTGAGAAGGTATCTCACAAGAGGCCCAGCAACAAACAGACCCATTCCTCCACCGGCAATGCACACACCAAACGCTGTTGCTTGCCTCTTTGAAAAGTACTGCCCTGTAACAACGCCTACTACATTGCAAGCAAGACAAATACCGAATCCTGTCCAAAAAGAAGAAAAAAATAATAAATCCGTTCTATAAAATATTTGATATGGTAAACTACCATGTGACCCTACATCTGATCCTCAAGATAAACGTATATACAGCCAAAACAAAGAGAAAAGATGATGTGGATGTTGTGTTGATAACGATCGTTGTCATTATTAAAACACATTACAGCTAATTAACAATACTCAGTATCCTTGATAAACGAAGCAGTGTGGGTTTGATCCATGTGAGTGAGTGAGTGAGTTGGTTTTAACGCCGCTTTTAACATTATTCCAGTTATATCACGGCGTGTCAGCTTAATTTGGGAGGAAAACCCGAAGTGATGCAGGTCTCAGACGTTTACCACTTCGTTGAAACCCACGAGCACGGGTATGGTGCTTACAAACCTAGAAACATAATCGGGGCGAACCGGGATTCGAACCCACAATCATAGGTTTCTGGCACGCCCAAGCGACGCAACTCTGCACAGCGAATCGCGGCGCCTTAGACGACTGGGCCACCCGTGCCCCCCGTTTGATCCATGTAGCAACATTCAAAAGCATTGTCAAATACCATAATACATGTATGTAATTTTCTGTTCTGAATGTACATCAAACCTTCCTAAGAAGGTAGAATGTAACACAATCAATCACCAGATAACATACCTGACACAAGGCCATACGTTAGCACTAGGCCAAATATGGATTTGCAGAATGAAGCAACCGTCATGCCAATTAGCGTTAAAGCGCCACCAACCATAGCTGTAATACGGGAACCAGCTTTAGATTGTATCAAGCCAGCAACTGGACCTGTAAAGTTGACAATAACTCCGTAAGTGAGTGAATCAGGGTAAATCGGGTGTTATTTAGATTTTATGTTAGATTCTACGTACCCAGTAAAGTGCAAGCTCCGAAGTTGATAGAGCCGATCCAGGAGGTCTTGGTCAGATCGTTTTCAATTTCCTCCAGGACTGCGATGTTCATGACACCAGGAGAGTACGCCAGTATTCCTGCCATGAACTGTAAGGTGAAGGCAGCTGAAAGGATCACCCAGGCGTAGCCCCGGTCGACATTTGCTTTTGAGACTTCCATCCTTCTGTGTAATGGATAAGTACATGTTCGTTAACTGATGAATTTCCTTATGTGTAATTATCCTTCATGGATACCTTGTCACAAAGTTGGAAACCTTCAATTAGACACCATGAAAGTTGAGAAAATGGCTGAGAAGGTATTCCTTGTGCATTTGCAAAAGTGATTTTGAGAAATGAACATCAAATTTACTGCAAAGTTGCAATATAGGACATGCAGATATAGTAGTAAGCACGTGAAATGTATAGTGTGTTTAGCATAACATCAAATATTACCTTGATTCTCTTCTCTTACAGCGTACAAATATATGATGAAAACCATCAACTTAATGAGAGTGTCCCTTGTTCTCATTAACAAATCGACGCATTTTAATTGGACATATTGGAGTTTATTGTAGCGTCAGGTTTAATGCAGATGCCGGAAACAATTACATGTATGAACAAGCTTCCTATAAACAGTGGAATTGACAACGAGATTATCACGATGCAACGTGTCAAGATTTCTCAGTTTGTTTCGACAGGTTGTAAACAGTTGTGACAGTCACCAACCGTGTATGACGACTTCTGTGTTCTTGTTAACCTTGTCAACTAATCTTATAATTACAACCAAACATTGCTCACCCTAGTGTATCACTCATGGAAGTCAAATGACTCTTACTTCGTGCATGAAATCTGTGCGAACCCTACTGTTTCTGGATATTAAGGGAAGGCGGAGAGTACATGACCGTCAGAGAGTAACATATGAAATACTGCCGTTTGTGTGATGTAATCTGGGCGCTCATTGGCCAGAGCAAGGGAGTTAACTGACTATAAAAGTCCAGTGTCCGCCCTTGCCGAACAAGGCTGGTATTTGGAGTTACATTTTGGCTGGACTAACGAGGCTATGCATAGTCCAATCAAAATCGCGCAACGAAATCGAAATCCAGTTCATAAACTGTCATGCAGATTTCGGTCGATTGCAGGATTTGCAAAGCATGTGCACCGCCAACTCGTTGTCAACAGATGTTTTCCAAATGTTTTCATGTTTTTAATCAAGGTGCTAACGTGATTTGATGCATTTCGCGATGCAAGACCCGTTTTATCACAAAACAGATCTTGATTATTATTCAGATCGTCCTGACTGGACGCCGGCAATTTGTTGAAGCAAATGCAAGTGATACGAGAAGTGGAATCTGATTGGTCCATAGGAGAGGCTTAAAAGGGACATAACTCGTAATAGCCACTGGTGGCGCTACGATCGAGCGCAGGAATTCCAGTCTAGTTCGGCAAGGGTGGAAACTGGATTTTGTAGGGCATATCGAACAGCTTATTCAGTTTCCTTCAGGAATGATAGTCTTTGAAATCTAGACATTATGCCACTAGGTAATTACAAAACGCCTTTACACCCGTGATGAAGTTCCGGGGTAGAATAGGTGTTCAGCAACCAATGCGTTCCATAAATGGCGACTATGTTTGTCTGGGAGGCGACTTACATGATCAGGTGGTCAGGCTCGCTGACTCGCTGGTTGATGCATGTCATCGTATCCCAATGATGCCAATCACTGGATTGTCTGGTCTACACTCCATTATTTACAGACCGCCGTCCTATAACTTGCTAAGCGCCGCGTTAAACAAAAACAAATCCAAACGCCTTCGGACCCCATTTTCTTCCTTGTACATGACCCCGTGGTAATCATGCATTTCTAAATTCTTCATTATACCACGATCCATTCATTTCCAACGTTGAACACGCATATTTATATATTTGTCAAGTCTGTTGTCATTCTTGGCTAGCTACTACATCCTCATAGTATATTTAGTACGGTGTCATAATTTTTTGTTTTGTTGTTACAGCCTTGTTAAAACCACATTACCCTGTTACACGTACGTACACTAATTATCACATCAACATGTTTTGTGCGTATCTTGATAACCGACATGTTACTATCTTACAACTTGTCAATTCGTATTTGTTTTTTTTTATAATTGATTGATTTGATTGTTTTGCTAAAACAAAAACATTTCCGTCTGATCGCGGTGTTAGTGTTGTGTATGCGCTCGTTCAACGTTAAAGTGACCGAAGCGACCGAACGCGGGTTCGTTGCATTTTTATCAGTTTTACTGTTTCATCCGGGAAGATATCACTCGTTTAATAACTATACATTTTTCGTAAACAGTGTTTAATAACATCACTGTTTCGGTATCAGCTGGTCATTCGAATGGCCATGGGGGCGTCGATAGCACTGTGTACCTGTACTCTGCAACGTTTACCCTTTCCCAAGAGGTATAATCTGCTCCCCAGAGACACTGCTAATTTTCGCAAAACACCATACAGTAAACTACGGTTATAACGAACTCAAATGGACCGCTAATTGAAGTTCGTTATAACCGTAGTTTGTTATAAGCACACATACAACATCTATACAGCAAATGGCGGGGACCAAAAATTAAGTTCGTAATATCCGTCAGTTCGTTGTAAGCGTGTTCGTTACAAACGTATTTTACTGTATATGTATAGGCAATTGAAACCATGATTGCATCACTAAACTCGCTGTAGCAAGCTATACGACTGTTGATATATTTCACTTGAATTTGTCTGGTTGTTTGCAGTTGTCTATCATCTATCGCGAACGAAAACGTTGGAAATATGGACAGTATACGGACTCTTTTAAGTGCAAGCATCGTGGCATCATTAAGGTTCTAAGCATACCTAATAAACAAAACTCCAGGAACCTAGGATTTTGGTTTCGAATCCTGGTTCTCTCGGATTATGTCTCAAGGCTTGTTAGCACCATACACTTGCTCTTGGGAGACCTGCATCACTTCGGGCTTTCCTCTCACATTCAGCTGATACGCCGTGATGTAACTGGAATAGTGTTAAAAGCGGCGTGAATCCCACACGCTCACGCTTAAATAAACAAACAAGCAAATGAGAGTAGCCCTTCTTGGACAAATCGGACGGTGGTTAAAAATGTCCTTTTGTCAACCTATGTGACATTAATCTTTCGTGCTCCCAAATTACCAAAAGTATGTAAAGTAACGGTAATTACAATCAATTCCATAACTGATAAACCCTCTGCTGACTCGTACGAACCACATAGCCAACATGATACTCGTAGGATCTCTCTGGCTCCAGGGGGCACGGGTGGCCCAGTCGTCTAAGGCGCCGCGATTCGCTGTGCAGAGTCGCTTCCCTTGGCCACGCCAGAAACCTATGATTGTGGGTTCGAATCCCGGTTCGCCCCGATTATGTTTCTAGGTTTGTCAGCACCATACCCGTGCTCGTGGGTTTCACCGAAGTGGTAAACGTCTGAGATCTGCATCACTTCGGGCTTTCCTCCCACATTAAGCTGACACGCCGCGATATAACTGGAATACTGTTAAAAGCGGCGTTAAACCCAACTCACTCACTCACTCACTCACTCACTCTCTGGCTCCAGTCACCTACACTGAAGAGAGTTCGAAGTTAGATTTTTGTGTTACATGCAAATGTTTCTAACGTGGTGTTTTTTGTGCTCAAAATGACACTTCCGGTCAGCGTTATTCCTATGAGATTTACCTCACCACGTCTACTTCATACACAGGTTGACGCCTATACGATTGTTATAACCTAGCCCTCAGACTAGAGACAAAACCAGAGGCGTTGGGGAGAGACTTTTATTTCGCCAGCCACATGGCCGGTCAACATGTCATAGCCGAGTGACAGCACGTGCGGACTACCTTCACAGGCACGTGAGGTATTCATACGCGTTACTCTCACAGCACATAGTTCTAGGGTACGTCGGGTAATACAATACTTATCAAGATATTACAACGATATTTAGATAAGGAGAAATTCACCCATTGATGGAGAGCAAGTAATTAATCGAAGCGTTACCACGTAATTGGATGCGGGCCTCTGATTGGCCAATCATTCTGAACGAAAATCAATTCCCCTGGATGTGTTCGAACATGTTATAGAATCATTTGATTAGTCGTTATATGATTCCGCGAAGTAAGCAGTAATCCAAGTGATATAACAATTATCGACAAGAGCTAACTACTCAGAAAATTGTCGAAATTGTTGAAATTACTTCAGTCTCGAGAGTTTTCAACATGTTCAGCCCTTATACCCTTACGTACAAGGTATTTTACTCGATGTCGATAGTTATAAGAATATCTGATATTAAAAATATCGTGCATTTGCTTGCATAAATCACTCGTGCATAATTATTTATTTAGAATACAGACAAACAAGTTACTATTTCGCAGACATAGCTACTGTCATACTAGCTGTTTGACCCCTCTGTGCTTTGTGAACAATGAGAACGGTACTGCAGTATATACACGTACTTACATTGAACTAAATTGGTTGGTTCATTTGCTATTTAACGCCGCACTCAGCAATATTCCAGCTATATGTCTGTAATTAATCGAGTCTGGACCAGACAATCAAGTGATTGACATCATGAGCATCGATCCACGCAAATGGGATACAATGACATGCAACAACCAAGTCAGCGAGCCTGACCACCCGATCCCGTCAGTCGCCTCTTACGACAAGCATAGTCGCCTTTCATATACGGTAAGCATTGCTTGATGAAGACCTATTCTCCCCGGATCTTCCCGGGTCCATTCTGATACAAACACAAGCATTCAGCGAGCCTGACCACCCGATCCCGTTAGTCGCCTCTTACTAAAAGCATGGGTTGCTGAAGACATATTCTATCCCGGATCGTCACGGGTACACAATCGAGTCTCGTACATTCACTCTGACCCAGTTCTCTGTTCTAATGACAACAAATTTATACTAAAGATAAAGAATTCAGAAACGACTTGATGAACTCCGCTAAGCAACAATTTATGCGCAAAGCAAGTCCGAGAAATCGATTGTGTTATTTTTAGAACAATTCTTCATGTTCATCGTTTTAATACCGATACGGTATACCTGTAGCTAGACGTAATTGGCGATTAGTATAAGAGGGTGGGAAGATAATATAATAACAAAGAAAGATACTCAGTAATTACCCACGCTTCAGCTGACAAGGAA